CAGGGATCGGCTCTGAATATATTACACACGTACGTCAGGGTTCACGTCTTCATCAGACGGGTCCTACAGACAATATTAAAACTGACTACACAACTATATATCAATTTATTACAGACGTTCGGACTGACGAGATTTGATAGACAATGATGGAAATATATTGTTCCCTAAAGAGAGCCTATAAAAATGGTATGATCACGCCCATCACCATAAACTCTGTCTTTCAGTCCGTCTGTCTTGTGTCACAGTACATATTACCATAAATGGATAAATTCTGTATTGGGAATCACTGCAAGCAACTCAAAGTGTAGAAAAACCGGAAGTCGACCCAATAACATCAATCATGACGGCGTTTTACAGGTATCAGCCTTGGATTGATTTCCGATAAACGACTATTTTAAATGAAAGTGCGACAGCCTATACATCACTGGGACCCTCTCGATTACATTTTTTATCACCGCTAAATGAGCAAAACCTGTCACGCTGTATAACCTCAGATGTAAGCTTTAAGGCTGTTTTAAATATTTCAATCTAGTTACATTTTAAAATTCCTAAACTTTCTAAGAGTAGATGAGTGATTGATTTTAGAAGAAGAATGCATCTGAATAAAGCAATTCAAAGAAAGGTGAAAAAAGAATCATGACAGAAGAAAGTGCAGGTACATGGTTACTATTAGATTTAGAGAACTTCCATCTAAATGTCTGACTTGTCGTCAGTAGGAGAATGATTCAAGATTAAATTTTAGAACTAGTTGTAGCAGTATCTCGGTCTGTGTCTCCTAGTCTGTTAATTCATATCTCGGTCTGTGTCTCCTAGTCTGTTAATTCATATCTCGGTCTGTGTTTCCTAGTCTATTAATACATATCTCGGTCTGTGTTTCCTAGTCTATTAATACATATCTCGGTCTGTGTTTCCTAGTCTATTAATACATATCTCGGCCCGTGTTTCTTAGTCTATTAAATCATATATCTGTCTGTTTCCTAGTCTATTAAATCATATATCGGTCTGTGTTTCCTAGTCTATTAAATCATATGTCTGTCTGTGTCTCCTAGTCCGTTAATTCATATATCGGTCTGTGTTTCCTAGTCTATTAATACATATATCTGTCTGTGTCTCCTAGTCTGTTAATACATGACACCAATTCTTTTTTCAAGTTATTTCAGCTTTAATTTACCTATAAAGTTTATGGAATTTTTCGCTATTTACTACACAGTCACATTAATGTAGACCTTGGTCAGTGCACAGGTCATGATCAGGGACGTATATATCTCGGAAAAGTATATTTGTTATACTTTCATTTGTTTAAAATCTTCGCTTGGTGTCGGACTCTACCTAAAACATGTTACGCTGGTATGGCTGCAGTTGTCTTTGTAACATTACATAACCGGAAAAAAACGACCAGTGGTTCACAGTCAAAGTGGAGATGGAGGAGGAACGCAATGATGGATATTTCCACTTCGTTATTCAAAGTCCGTAATAGCCGAGCGCGCACTCACGTGCCCGCGGGAGATATTAATTTCATTGCCAACACGTGCCGGGGAGACTAATATAACACCGTATTCCAAGGGCCAAATAAACACCAAGAAACAAGAATTTTTTGCTGATTGCATTCACTGATTATAATGCAGTTCGTTTCTGGTTTGGAGGATAATATCGAACTATGTCGTTTAGCTCTACCGACGACAGATGTTATCTCGATTCTAATTGGTTGATTTGCTTTTAAAGTGGATCGACTGCGACCATGATTTGACAAGTGTCCTGGCCTGGAAGGGGTAACACATACGGACAGAATGACGTCACACCATTACGAGCTTAACCGGCTCAAAAGTTTAATGAATGAAAAGAAAGATTCAAAATTATACTGATCTACTCGATTTTTTTCTGGAGATGTCAGAAAGCTGTTGACATATTTTATATGACAGAGAAAGACGTGTAATTCGTGTTTCGCCCTTGATCCGAGTTTCCGGTACAAAAATTTCGATCCCACTTTTTCTGTACAGAATCATTCTAACACATTTCGGTTTCCCAGGGAATGGCTATCGCTATGCTATACCAGCCTGATTAGTTGTGACAACTTCCAGTTTGTCATGTGTTCCCGCGACATTCCTAACTGGCGGGGGTAATTCGGCAGGCGACCATTGAAACGAACAATGCCCCCAGTCAAGAAATTGGCCAGTAACGTGATCATAACACTGGCTCTACCTGGAGTAGCCCATAGTTCACGTGGAACCAATGCTATAGACTACACCTAACAATAGCACAAACAGGGTATGGGGTATTGAATACAACAGAAACACAACAAACAACATGTCCAACTTCAAATGCCTGTCAGACTCCATAGAAAATGTTATTAATAATGCCAGTGGTATTAAACACGTCGAAGGTCGCCGGGAACTAGCCAGTGACACAGTCAATTGGGAGTTATTAAACTCTTATGATATGTAATTGAGCGAACAGGGGTTACTTAACTTTCCTCTGTCATAATTGTCAACTTCCTCTAGAAAGACTAAATTTGCATCAATTTCACAATCCGTCAAATCTCAATAAAGAAAAATTACGGTACGTACGTGTATGAACTGACAAATTTGTCATTTTACGATATAGTACTGGGTTCACTATTTTCCATAAATAGATTTTCAAGTCTGGCTTACAGGTGAACGGCAACACTCTGTCAAACGTTTATAAATGTTTTTCTTTGATACGTCAAACCACACGTGGTGACGTCTGCGTCTACAGAAAGTAGATTGATAGGAACGGTACAAAATATGCACGTGCATTACAGGACAATGCATGCTACGATATTGTTTACCGTGTCTGTGTTGCTTTAGGAAAACGTTTAGTAATCTAATCCCGAAGATTCGTGCCAGTTTCAATCATACATTCTATTTCATATTTCTGTGTATGTGGCGATTTCTTCAAGGAACAGACCATTTTATTACTCAACAATACAAGTAGTCCTAGTACAACGTACTAATATCTCGCTTGTCTGCAAAATGGTACAGCGGAGAGGACGTGCTTGGGACCAAGGCAGTAACGACATCAGCAGCCTACACACAATTCACGTGCAATCACCGCCTTGACATGCTTTTGTTATTTTAGGTATGTTTGGGTACGCCCATTGTTCTCAACTCGAGGTTATCTACTCCGAAGTAAGGGACCTGCACACATGTTGGACATTCCACTGGTTGTGAGTGTAGTGGGAACTGTAGTGCGACGAAAAAAGTAGACCGGACCCCTACACGGTGTTTGGGAAAGCAATGATTTTTTGCCATTATTAGGATTGCGCGGTATGAAATGAAGTCACATTAATTCCTCGCCGTCAAATCAGACCACGTGTTAGTAAGTTATTGGGTGCCGGCCCCCCGCCCCCTTGAAACACATCTTAACGTTTAAATGTATTTATTCGTCATATAAAAGCGTTTCATTGTTTCATACAAAATAAATTGGAACATAAAATAATAGAAAAATGATAGAAATCCTTTAAGTTAACTTCCGGTTCCGATGTGGGTCGCCTTGGTGCAATGGTTCCCAGAAGGTTGATATAAATATCCCTGATGACCTTGCACAGGAACAGACTTTAATGTAATAAAACTCCTCACGTTTCACAACTCGTCAGAAGTCACACATGGACTGTGGCGCGCGTGAAGCCATTAAGAGGCCAGAGTCGTGTGGCGCGAGTTTAACACTAAAGCAGTAACGTCGTTTACTTATTCGATCAGAGAGGAGTTTATTTGGTGATTGTTTAGTACTAACGTGACAACAGAGTTAGCATTCCAGGATGAAACGACAGTGCTGTGGGAAATAACGTTATCTACGCTATCTCATTGACCTTGATTTTGCACGAGAGCACGTGGTCAGCAGGCGTTGACCCAATTTGTGACAGGTACAAATATTCAATAAGAAGTTTGACACTGAAATATCTCCCTCGCATAATGAAGCCACCGACGCATAACCGCTGACTTCAATCTCTGTGTCATCAGCTAATGGTTGTCCTCAAGGTGAACCATAGTTTTCAGTTATATAACGAATAGTAAGAGACCTTCAAATATCTAAATTCGTCGCAAGGTGAAAAAAATGTATAATATTTCAAACAATGTCACACGATTTCAAATTAAACACGGTCACATATGTTACAGTTCATATGCATGTAAATACGTGCAACAGGACTTGTACTTGTACACCATGTAAGATGTACATGCTAACTAGACTATTGTGAGATTTTATTATAAACCAAAACCGGCTTTTAAATGTATTAATAAGAAATTACACAACAGAAGTCGCTCGCACACGTGTGTGTCACTGTCTAGGTTTACGACAATCAAAGGAACGTAAGCAACAAAATCTGTGTGCGATTCTTAAATGGGCGGGCTGGGAAGATACATTGTGGAGAGCACGGTCAGTTAGACCTGTGGTCAGTGTGATGACACCTTCCTACCCTAGTAGTCCATCTGTCTACCTGGTGACAATGAGGAAGTTAATAGTTGCTCCTTCACGCTCGACATACCTCGTCTCGGCTAGTAGCTGCCCTCCGAGACGAAGTCAGTTAACATCCAAATCGTTATGCGGTAACTATTTGTAAACACATTCTATATAGGTAAAATAATGAAATACAATTAACACCAGTTGCAATCAATATTGCTGTTGGTAAACAAATATGACAATTGACAGCGACACAGGGATCTAAACCCAGATGATTGTATAGGTGATAAGTGATGTCCAGTAACATCACCAGCTGTCTAACGATTGTGACAGAAAACCACGTGGTGACCACGCCCCTCCGTTGCAAAGATGTAGAGCATGGATTCTCTTTCGAGGTATCATCTCCAGGCGGCCACAACAGAATTAGCAGATGTTTAAAGTTATAGGGGTGGGGTTAGCTTGGAGGGGCGGGACTAGTGTATGGCAGAGAACAAATATTCAAATCCTTCAAAACTTGTTGCATAAAAGTACTAACAGGTATATATGTGAAATATAATTAATTAACAATATCAATGGTAACTTACTCGGAATCACCACAATGTCGCTCTCCTTCCTGCTGCCGTCTGTCTTGTAAATACAGTCGAGTAAAATATCATATTTTCCATCACTTAGTGTTTTTTCTACCAGCCCAGTCACTACAGCGTCCGACATAAATACCATTTTCTCAAAGACAATATTTTCATCTGAATATATATCGATATCCCTATCACATGTCTGGGCCCGGGCCAGGCCTAGAACCATACAGGACACGATCACACCCAACACTCCTCGTACAGGGGCCATGCTAGATTTGTACAGAGGTAGAGCTACCGATACCGCCGCTGTTTGTTTCACTAAGTAATCCACGTACACCGCTCAGGTCTGCACTCTCTCGTTGCGATGTATCCGAAACTGTCGCGTAGACTGGTTGTACTTGTGCCCGCACCTTACTACGTTAGCTGTGCTACCCTCGGCGACTGACGAGCGACTGACGGGCTAACACAATGCGTTCGTTCAACCTTCATTCAGAAAACTACTGAAAAGTCAGCCAAGCGCATCGATCGCGATACAGCCGAGTAATTTTCAGCACTCAGCCTTAACTTCCTCCAAGACATCTTGAAGTGGATCATGTTGTTGACTGCAGGACATATTTTAATAGTAAGCAATAAATCAATAACGACTGACGTGCTATAATCTGGTTTTACTCTGTTGTGACAATATAATATCGGTTACAGCTCAAGCCGTTTTATCGATCTAGTTTGACTGTCACATCTGTTGGTATAATGGCGGTAAGTGAACAAAGACCTCCGATTTTAGTTATTGATATCGTCAAAAATTAATTAGCATCATAAAAAGACGCGGCGCGTGCCTTACAAAGGTACTGAGATCGCGAGAGGTGTTTCCCATCGGTTCTACTTCGCACGTGGGGACTCCGCCATCACAAAATCACAACGGATCGATATATTGTATTAGAGAATGTAGATGTACCATGCTGATACTGACGCAATAGTAGTGTAAGTGCATTTATGACACAACGTTTCCAACTTTGATCTGTCTTACTCTATAACCAGTAGTTACACCACGTGTCTTCCTCTATAACCAGTACTTACACCACGTGTCTTACTCAATAACCAGTACTTACACCACGTGTCTTACTCTATAACCAGTAGTTACACCACGTGTCTTACTCAATAACCAGTACTTACACCACGTGTCTTCCTTCATAACCAGTACTTACACCACGTGTCTTACTCAATAACCAGTACTTACATCACGTGTCTTCCTCTGTAACCAGTACTTACACCACGTGTCTTACTCAATAACCAGTACTTACACCACGTGTCTTACTCTATAACCAGTAGTTACACCACGTGTCTTACTCAATAACCAGTACTTACATCACGTGTCTTACTCTATAACCAGTAGTTACACCACGTGTCTTACTCAATAACCAGTACTTACATCACGTGTCTTACTCTATAACCAGTAGTTACACCACGTGTCTTACTCAATAACCAGTACTTACACCACGTGTCTTACTCAATAACCAGTACTTACACCACGTGTCTTCCTCTATAACCAGTTACACCACGTGTCTTCCTCTATAACCAGTTCTTACATCACGTGTCTTACTCACGTGTCTTGTCTTCCTCTATAACAAGTACACACCACGTAAACCAGTACTTACATCACGTGTCTTACTCTATAACCAGTAGTTACACCACGTGTCTTCCTCTATAACCAGTACTTACACCACGTGTCTTACTCAATAACCAGTACTTACACCACGTGTCTTACTCTATAACCAGTAGTTACACCACGTGTCTTACTCAATAACCAGTACTTACACCACGTGTCTTACTCAATAACCAGTACTTACACCACGTGTCTTACTCTATAACCAGTACTTACACCACGTGTCTTACTCAATAACCAGTACTTACACCACGTGTCTTACTCAATAACCAGTACTTACATCACGTGTCTTCCTCTATAACCAGTAGTTACACCACGTGTCTTACTCAATAACCAGTACTTACATCACGTGTCTTTTTCAATAACCAGTACTTACATCACGTGTCTTACTCAATAACCAGTACTTACATCACGTGTCTTACTCAATAACCAGTACTTACACCACGTGTCTTACTCAATAACCAGTAGTTACACCACGTGTCTTATAACCAGTAGTTACACCACGTGTCTTCCTCTATAACCAGTAACATCAGTACTTACACACACGTGTCTTACTCTATAACCAGTACTTACACCACGTGTCTTCCTTCATAACCAGTACTTACATCACGTGTCTTACTCTATAACCAGTAGTTACACCACGTGTCTTACTCAATAACCAGTACTTACACCACGTGTCTTCCTCTATAACCAGTACTTACGGTACGTGTCTTCCTCTATAACCAGTAGTTACACCACGTGTTTTCCTCTATAACCAGTAGTTACACCACTTACATCACGTGTCTTACTCTTTAACCAGTTCTTACATCACGTGTCTTACTCTTTAACCAGTAGTTACACCATGTGTCTTCCTCTATAACAAGTACTTACACCACGTGTCTTCCTTCATAACCAGTACTTACATCACGTGTCTTACTCTATAACCAGTACTTACGGTACGTGTCTTCCTCTATAACCAGTAGTTACACCACGTGTTTTCCTCTATAACCAGTAGTTACACCACGTGTCTTCCTCTATAACCAGTTCTTACATCACGTGTCTTACTCTTTAACCAGTAGTTACACCATGTGTCTTCCTCTATAACAAGTACTTACACCACGTGTCTTCCTTCATAACCAGTACTTACATCACGTGTCTTACTCTATAACCAGTAGTTACACCACGTGTCTTCCTCTATAACCAGTACTTAGACCACGTTTCCTTGTTTATAACTATTCCTTATAATACATGCCTTATTCTACAAGTATGTCATATGTAACGTAACCTCTTTCTGACCTCGCTATTTTCATTTAGTATTCTTAAAGATTCGCAGGTACACATTTTATATATCATGTAGTCGGCTAGTCGGAACTCGTCACTGCAGTTTTATAGTTTGATTCATTACGTCACACAGCTTAATTTGTCACGGTATAAATATTTTATTTATGACAGCATATTGCTCTAGGACGTACGTTCCCATTACAGTGGTTATGATTTACACAAACGTATTACAACAGTAACGTTCCTAAATGAATTACGTGCTGCATACTTAATCACTGCTGACAAACACCGGGACCGTACTCTCTCGTTAACACGTTACCTCCACGCCGCCTCATGTCACCAGCTCCCACATATCATATATTTTATTTTTTATGGTGTAGGTCCAGTTGTCGCCACTTCACTTTCACATATGAAAATTGTATTGATTATCAATATCCGTTCCAACTTTGATTTTTTTTTATAGAAAACACAAATATTTGTGTATGAAATTAGTTGGGTCAATCGTCAATGCTTACATAAACTATCCCGGGACAGTGTGGACGTAACTCCTGAAGTCAATATTGTTCTTAGGATGGTAAGTGAACCCGGTTTGTGTTTTGTTACACTGTTCAACCTGTACATACTAACCCGCAGACCAGAGACAAGGTTTGTAAATGATGGTATACATTTCGTACACGTAAATAGCGTTTCGGATGTTTTATGCCGTTGAATGAACATCGATGTTTATGAGGTTGAACCTCGCAAGGCCGAGCAATGCGTAATCGGTCATGAATTATTTAATTGAGAATCGATGTGTACTGTTAGCCATTTTTCCATACCGATATGATGGACGATTCGGTCCCGGAGAGATTACAGGACCCGCTAATGACGTTTGAGAGATATGTTTGTGGATCAGGGAAAAACGTGTTCATTAGCGACCTGATGACTCAGACAATTTAATACGGCATTTGTCCCTTAATCCCTCTGTATTTCTGTGCGCATGCGCTTTTGCAACTTTCCATACGTTTCTATAGCCAAACACCTGGTCTAATAACAACAGCGAGTACCTTTCTAATGTACCTCAAGCACATGTGTGATGCCCAATATGGTGATTTAATTACTGGATATTATGAAACACATTTAAACTATACTGACAGAGCTACCGAAATGGGTACACACATCTACGTAAAACAGAGAGAAATGTCGGATATAATGTGACTGTTTCATTTACTGAAATAACCACCAAGTACAAAGAGCAAAGCACCGAACATAAATGATTATCTACGACGTCGTTCCATAGATAGCGTCACAAATGTGTAGCTGTGGGCCTCCATACACCGGTGTACTGCGATATACCGGTACTTACGATGAGGGGGCCGATATGCAGTCCTTACACCCGATAGTGATCTAACATTCCTGTACGTAAGACAACTAATAACTAAAACTACGGTGTCAACTGGTGGAGGGCACGCAGACAAAGGTGTACATTTCCACTTAGAACGAGTACCTAGTAGCGAAGAGATTAGAACGGGAGACTTGTACATAATAAGTGTGCATCTAGACGTTGACCGAGTATTATTTCGACCTGAATCATAGTATATTTGTCCAAAGTCAAACTTTACGTCGAATGACTGCTCAGTCAGACCTGAGTAGACTTAAATATGAAATAGGAGTTCCTAGGTTGGATTTCGACATGGTGTTGATTTCAGCATGGCGTCTACGACGGTAAATTTTGACATGTAGAAAGAACCTTTTATGTAGATTTCGATTTAGAAGAAGGATAATGTACATAGTGCAGAATGATGTAGATATCAGATTTCGGCGTGGCATGAGTACAATGGACACTTGTACCTAACAGGTTTGCATGTGTATACGTTTTGTTGTAACAAAGAAGGTTAAGAAGTTTATAATTTCTGTTTGGCTTAAGATGATACTTAGAACCAATCTTACAATTTTCATTAGTTCCACTATTACTTATTCAATGAAGTTAACACTTTTTAAAACTGTTGTCTTACACACACTTATAGCTCCACAGGACACTGCCGTGTTCGCAAGTTTCTTACGTAAAAGGTGCCAGATTTTGGGTATTTTTTTTTTGTAATTGCTTTTAATTATGTGAATTGATGTTCAGATTTGATGGTCTTATTAAATCTATTTATAGATTGGCTTCAAAGCCCATGATATGGAAATAAGGATGCATCAAAGTGCATAGTCACGTGACGTGAAAATCCGTGATGTTCCAAATGCCAAATGAATGGAGTTCAGAGTTCTAGAGGAGCGGATAAATGGAAGGCAAGTTACATCGCCATATTAGGCCATATACGCTCGTTTACTGTGTAACATGTTAATCTATCAACACAGAAACACATTCCCCAATAACATGACATATAAACATTAAACAGGAAAGAAAAAAAAGAAAAGGAAAAAAAATGGAAACATGTCACTGCATCACTGAATGGAAATCTATTCAAGTGTATGCGTGGTTCCTCTACGTAATGGACACCAAAAATAGAGCTCACAAGTCATCCAGCTTGGAATTTAT